GGGGGGGGGGGGGGTGGTGAATGAAGGCCTACTTACAGGAATTGCGATGCCTTGAAGTCGGCGACCGTCGTCTTGCGGTGCCCAAACTCGTTGTCCCACCCGTACAGACGATTGCTGGCGTCCCAGGCACGACCCAACACCACCTCACCTGACCGACAGAGACACACACCACACCACACCACACCACACACCGCCTCGTGTGGTGTGGTGTCCATCTGATTGTGTTGCTCACCTCCAGCCACATCTATGAGTTTGTTGTGCGGCGTGTCGACTTGGTCGGGGTGCGCCCCAAACGCCCCATGGGGGCACAGCGACCACAGCGGATGGTCACGCACCAGAGATGTGGGCAGCCTGTGCACACACGCAGTCAATCAATCAATCAACCAACCAATGGCCTCCCGCCCTCCCTCCGTTGCTCTCTGACCGGCGGATGATGACAGACGACGTCTCGAGGTGGATCCTCTCGTGTTCGATGCCCATGAGCACGATCCACCAGAACGAGTCCTTGGTGATGGGCACCTCCAGCGGCTCGTAGGTGCGGATCATCTCCACCACCAGCGATCGCACCTTCTGCCGGTACTGCAGGACGCGCTCGACGAACAGCGCTGCCGCCTGGGGGTCCTCGTGGGCCTCCTTCTCGGTCGGCCAGGCGTAGTGGGTCTCGTCGAGGTCGTCCCAGGACATCTCGTCGACACCCACTGCACACATCGTCTCCAGCTCTGATGAATGGACGGAAAGAATTCACACCCAAAACACAGCAATGGGCAGCCATCTCTCTCTCTCTGTGTGTGTGTGTGTGTGTCCGTACCTGGGTCGATTCGCTGTGTGATGTATTTGCCGAGGATGAATTTGTTGACGAAGAAGCACGCCGTGTGGCCGAGGTAGAAGATGAGTGGGTGGCGCAGCGGCTCGGCCTTGACGAAATAGCCCTTGGGGCTGCTCACGACATCAAACAACTAAGAAACAGATCGGCAAACAAGACAGGCACACGGTCTGTCTGTCTGTCTTTCCCTCTATGTGTTTTACCTTTTCGTAGAGGTCGAATGTCTGCGTGAAGTATCGCTCGATCTCCACGCGCTTGTCTGCCGCACTGCCGCTATTCACAACCACAGCTGCAAGCACACACACGCAGACACAGAGATATGACAACACCACTCACTTGTGAGTGGTTTGAGCTCACTCTTTGTGCGGAGAAGACTGTAGTCCGCCGTCATGCCGCCCTGACACACACACACAGACACAGACACAGACAAGACAATCACATCCATCCATCCGTCCATCGATGTGTCCGTCTGTATGTGTGTCTATCTTACCGTCTGAGGCTGCTGGCTGCTGCCAGAGGCGCACGGCATCGTGTGTGTCGGCTCAGCAGTGTCAGTGGCACTCACACACACTCGCCGGTGAGCGGAGAGGAAAACCAGCACACCAACGGGAAAATCGCCCGCACTCGCCCAGACGAACGAACACAAAAACCGAAAAGACGGGCTCCTGTCTGCTTCTCTGTCTGTCTGTCTGATTCTCTGTCTCTTGGCTATACACAACAATATGCTGCCAAATGAGTGATGGAAATCGCTCACTACTGACTCACTGACTGACTCACTGACTGTCACCCCACAGTCAGCCAGCCACACGACAAGCAGCTACTCTAGCTAGAGCTTCTTGTAGTGGAACAGAGACACCTGCCGCCAGTTCATCGCTGCACAAACATCACAATGCCCTTGATTGCTTCACTGCTCTGCTCGCTTCTTGAAAACGATGCTGATCTTGTCTGTCTGTCTCAAAGGCAGGCGGCTGTTCAGACGCTCGGCTCGCTGTACAAGGCAGGGAGGGGCGGCTTCTTGAAAGTCGCTTCAGATCCGCTTCTTGTGGTGGTACACACACAAACGCGTCCAGCACATGCTTCAAAACCTGCACCCAATCACACCCACACACACAACACAGAGCCAGTGCTGGCGATGGCATGCAGGAGGAGCTCACACGCGTGACTGGTTTTTCTGTCTTTGGTGAAGATTACGGTAAGACAATGCGAACGAGGGGCTACTCAGCAGCAACTCGCGCGACTCTTGCCAAACAGGAATCAGCAGCAGCGGTTTCACGCAATGTCGCGTGAAACCGATGTAGAGATCAGGACCAGGAAAGGGCGAAAGAGCAGCTTCTCAGCCGTGCGGTTGCAATATCTGACGCTCCCGTGTGCCGTTGATCCATTGATATATCTTCGCCGGCATGTTTGGACTGTGCGGCCCTTCGCCTCGTTTGCCGACCGTGACCGTCAAGAAGGACTGTCCCAACAGCGGCGACACATACATCGGCCCTGACGATGACCTAGCATGCGGTCGGTATGCACCCGCTGCGTGCCAGAAACGCATGTATACGCAATTGCAGATCTCACTCACTGGCTGGCTGGGTTGCAGACTATTCGGTTCGGAAGAGTCCTTTCGTGACGGCCCGGGATGCGTGTGTGGAGATCCCCATGGCAAAGGAGGGCGTCGGGGCTATCAAACCCACCACACTGCCGAAGCTGCTGAAGGTACGGCTTTGGCATATGGATCACACAAACGCGCCAGACAGGCTGATGCTGCTGTGTGTTGATGTGTGTTAGGCTGCTGCCGAGACCAAGGGGAGCCGCACGGCTCTGCAGTGGGAGGACCCCACAGACCCCTCCAAACCCATGATCAAAATGACCTACAAAGAGGTACGTGTGAGTGAATGGGCGCTGGGTGCGCTCCCGATTGCGCATGTGAGCGTATGTGTGTGTGTGGGCAGGGGTATGATGAGGTGTGTCAGGCCGCCCGCGCGCTGGTTCACTACGGCATGCCCGTGTTCGGTTCGGTGGCCATCCTGGGCTTCAACTGCAAGGCCTGGTGGGTCGCATACCACAGCGGCATGATGGCAGGTATATTCCCCCTTCACACAGACAGACACACACACAGACATTTCATCAATTCCTTGTGGCGGCTCGGCTGTAGGTGGGAGCAGTGTGGGCATCTACACGACCAACAATGCCTCAGCGTGCGAGTACGTCTGCCGCCACAGCGAGGCCACCGTCGTCTTCGTAGAGAACGAGAAGCAGCTCTGCAAGTACGAGGGCGTCACGTCCTCAGCGCTCCCGGATCTGCGGGTGTTCGTGGTGTGGGGCGAGGACGTCTCGGCCTACCTCGCCAGCAAGGGCGCCTCCCTCCCGGCTCCCGTCGTCACCTGGGTCAGTCAGTTTGATTCGTGTGGAGATGGTCTTCTGGCAGTGGCTTGTGTCTGCAGGATGAGTTCATGGCCAAGGGCCAGGACGATGCGTTGAAGGGTGAGGTGGAGACGAGGATGGCCAACACCAAGCCGGGGCACTGCGCGTCACTCATCTACACCTCTGGCACGACGGGGACGCCCAAGGTGAGCTGGCTGGCTGGGCGGTAGGTGGGACAGAGGTCGCCGGCTGTCATGTTGGATGTGGTCATGGTCAGGGTTGCATGATCAGCCACGACAACTGCATCTGGTCCTCACGTGCCGTCATCAACAGGGTCAAACAGCCCAGCGCAACAGTGCCGGTCGGAGAAAGCAGGCAGCTGGCCACAACCACCACGCGCCCCACCGACCACCCCCCACCCTCATTCATGGTTGCTGTCCTTGATTTGTGTGCAGGAGGAGGTGGTGAGTTACCTGCCGCTGTCCCACATTGCAGCCCAGATGGGCGACCTCATCTACCCTGTCATCCAAACGGGCTGCCTGGCGGTGAGGGAGAGAGGGACAGAGCCAGCCCCAAGTGACTCGACTCTTGACACGGCCGGCCGTCGATATCTGTTTGTTTGTGTGCGCTTGCGCCCAGGGGCACTGCATCATCACGTTCGCGCGGCCTGATGCGCTCAAGGGCACTCTCGGCGACACCCTCAAGAAGGGTACCGAAATACGGAGCATGGAAGCGCAGCGCGGCTCTCAAACCAGAGTGAGTTCTCGCCCCTCTGTGTGTCTTCTGCTGTGTTTGTTCAGTGAAGCCCACGATGTTCTTTGGTATCCCGCGTGTGTACGAGAAAATGATGGTACGGGGGGATGCAGCCAGCCAGCCGGCACAAAGGAAGGGCACAGATCCATAAGGGTTTGTTTATGCGGTGGCTGTGCGGCTCTCGTCCCCCGCCCCTCACCACCTCAGGAGAGGATCAAGTCCGTGGCGGCGTCGACCAAAAACAGCGCCATCAAGCAAGCGGTAGGTACCCCCCATCCACACCACCCACCGCACCTTTTTGACTTACTTGTGTGTGTGTGTGTGTGGATAGCTGATAGACTGGGCCAAGCAGGTGGGCAAGGACCGGCTGGAGATGCAGATGGTGGGTGGGAGGGGCGGCAATCCCATCGGCTGGGGGCTGGCCAAGGGGCTCGTCCTGAAGAAGGTCCACGCCGCACTGGGCTTCGACAGGTGCTGGGACACCTGCCTTGTCGGCGCAGCACCCACGCCAGAAGCGGTCAGCCAGCCAGCCATCCACCCACCCACCCACCTATACCTTCCAGCAACACACCCACCCTCACTCTCAACGTCTTCCTCCTGTGACACTCAGGTGTTCCACTTCTTTGGCGCGCTTGGTATCATCATCAAGGACGTTTTTGGCATGAGCGAGACGGCGGCCGGTGGGATGGCCGCCGTCTACAGACACATGAAAATCGGAGCGTGCGGGTAAAAGCGTAGGTGGGGGGCCTACAAACAAGGCACGCACGATGTGCGTGTTGTGGGTGTGGTTCAGGATGCCCATCCCCGGTGAGGAGGTCATGTTGAAGCACCAGCCTGGCCGCGACGCCCCGGGGTGTGGCGAGCTCTGCATCCGGGGCAGGAACGTCATGATGGGGTAAGCGTGATAGGCAGGCGGGCAGCCGGGCTGGTTTTCATCCACGCATTGCCGGCAACACATGTATGTGTGTGTGTGTGTGTGTGTGTAGTTATCTGAAGGACGAGGCCAAGAGCGCCGAGACGATCGATGCCGAGGGCTGGCTGCACTCGGGCGATGTCGCCACCACCGACGAGAACGGCATCATCAAGATCACGGTATGACGGAGGGACATTTGTGAGAGATGCTCGCCGTTTCCCTACGTGTGTGTGGTTGTGTAGGGTCGCATCAAGGAGATCATCATTACGGCTGGCGGCGAGAACCTAGCTCCCGTGCCCATCGAGGAGTTCATCAAGGTATGTCCCACACACGCACGCACACATGTACCTAGGTACCTGGGTCAGTCTGTGCGTCGTTCGTTCGTTGTGTCTGTCATCAACATGCACAGACCCACTGCCCGGCCATCTCCAACTGCATGGTGCTCGGTGACAAGCTCAAATATCTCAGCCTCATCATCACACTGCACACCAAAACGGTACGCAATGGCACACACGCACACACACACAAAGATCGAGGAGCCCTGAGCGATCTCTGTGTGCAGGACCCCCAGGGCGACATGATGTCCAACGAGCTGGTGGGCAACGCGTTGGGCTACGGGGGCAGCGCCGCCACGACGGTCGACGAGGCGCGCACCGACGTCAGCTACAACACGGCCATACAGGAGGTCATCAACAAATATAACGACGAAGCGGTCGGTCACCCATCCACACACCACACACCACACCGCACACATGCACAACACCCCTCCTCCCATGTGTCTGCAGGCTGTGAGCCATGCGCAGAGACTCCAGAAATTCCTGTTGGTTGACAACGATTTCACCATCAAGGGTGGCGAGCTGACGGGCACACTCAAGGTCAGGCGGGCGGCCATCGTGGCCAAGTACGACGCAGAGATACAACGCCTGTACGAGGAATGAACGAACGAGTCCATCGATGGGCGCATCAGGTGGGGGGGGG